ATCTAATTTCTTACAGGTGCAAATTTTGGATACAAATGAATAATTATAACAATATTTTTCAATCACCAAAGATTTCCTTGAAAATAAAATGTGTTTACCTATTGCATAAGAAGAGTGAGCTTACTCAATATACTGTACGTAAATCATATAAATGTCATAATTCTTACAAGAATATTGGAAAATTATAGAAGTAAATAATTGTAAGAGATTTTTCCAAACACAAGACATAGCACTGATAAAATTATTGTATACAAAAAGAATTTGTGTACATCAACTGTATAAGGTAAGTGAGGTTACAGACTCAGTTTCAGGTAAACATGCAAATATCAGATTTCATGCCAAATGAAATGTGAAATTATGAATTTCATTGTGGTGTCTTTATACAATAAACATACAAGTGATAAATAATAAGACAAAAAGCAATGAAGTGTACATATCTATTTCATAAGGAGACTGAGTTGGTCATATGTCTGGCAACAAGATGATCCAGTACTTGCAATCTGGAAAGTATTCCAGTAGAGGATTGGTATGGTGTTGATTACATTTTTAGAATCAAGAAAACACACTCTCTCATGTGGTATCAAGAAAAGTAATGAAGATCACTTTTCTTTTTTGAAACTGTGCCACAGAGGGGGTGCAAGTAATATTTAAGCCTGCCAACATGAATAGGCTAAATGTTGATCTATTTATAATGGTAAAGAGGTCAGCTTGAGCAGAGAAGAGGATTAATGGATTAAACATTTGCATCTTTTCACTCCAGCACTGCAGTTATAAATTATTTGAAGTTTGAATAGAAAGTCTATTTACTTTGTGGACAAATGAAGTATATAATGGGACCTAACCTTATTCTTTGGCATTAATATTTTTTCAGTTAGTATTGTTAACTTGTAGGATGGAATTTACTTGATAATATGGTACATCTTGATAACTAGATTCTTTTTGATGTGTTAGTGTTTGATGTTCTTTGTTTTAAAGTTTGAGATAATCTCACTAATGTGAGTAGCTTTTTGTCACCTCGCATATTCTTATCTCAGGGATCAAAATATTACATTCCACATTTCCAAGTAATTTAACCTTTTAGTTGGCTTTCTTCGATCACGAATGCATAGTCCATCCATATTCCTTTAGTTATGACCAATAAAAGTGAACATATTGCATGAATTAAATGAAAAGACAATTCATGAGGGAAGGTAATCTTCCTCATAGCTTTCTCTCAAGTAGATGTAATTTTATTTCATTATTTCTATACCTGTATCTTCTTAACTTCAGGTACAGTCAGTTTACTTTCTTGACTATAACTAGATAACTAGGCTAATGCCAAATAAAAACAATAAACTTTAATGACAGATACAGCTGGGCAACTAACTAGATTAATTAATTATCTAAGAGATTCAATTACTGTTACTTAAAACAATTGATTAATCAAAATTATGATAACCTTGTAAAACCCTATTTTGACTAGTGGGCAGCTAGCTCTCCAGGGTCAAGTTTTTTACATGAAAATATCTAGGAATTAATATTTTGTCATTTTACAAAATTAATTTATTGTAAATTGCAAAAATAAATTTAGATAATGTTTGAAATTTGATCTCTGTGCAGTTCCCATTGGTATCACCTGTAAACAAGCCCTTACATATTTTTTTCATATTAACCTAATGTACTGGTTTATATCTACTCAAACAAGCCCTTACATATTTTTTTCATATTAACCTAATGTACTGGTTTATATCTACTCAAACCGTGGAATCCTTTATAAACAGACTTATCCAAAGTTTTGTTTCTCACATGACTTTTATTTCTCTGCAATGACTATTTTACATCAAATGGGTTAGACAGTAACTAATAAATCTTAGCCTCCATACAAGATAGAACCAATGCCTAAATATGCTTAGATATAAAACATTCTTGTCTTCTATGTTATTGTAAAGTAAATATTTAGTAACATGATTTTAGAAAAAGTGAATAGTGGAAGCTTTCATACTGGAGAACAAAGAATTCTAATGAAATAATGTTATAAAACTTAGAAACAAGACATAAACCTGAAATTTTTAGTATAGTTTGTTTTTATTCATGATAATCTTTTCGTATTACTTACAGAAGAAGAAAATGAGGTAAGGATATTTAGGGTTAGTGAGTACAGTAAGCTAGTAGTTATGCAACATCAAACTATTCAGATGACATAAAAATATCTTTATTTGTATTAGTAAATTTATTATCACTCAAACAGCACACATTCAAACTCTTTAGTTACTGAGAAAGAAAACCATAATTAGTACAAAAATATTGAGTTTGATCAAAAAATATAGTTGGAAAAATATCACCTATATCAATGTAAACCTAGGTTATAAGTGGAAGTTATGTTTGTCTACTTCAAGTTTGTTCAGCTTTGGGCCAGCATGGCTTGATGATTTGAATATCTCTGGTTCCGTTACTATTACTACAAAACTTGCTCACCCTGTCTTCATTATGGCAAAGCTACTAAGGCTATCTGCTGCTATCACTAATTTTGTACTACTGACTAAAATGTTTTGAAGTTATAATTGCATAACTGTATTCTATAGTATTGTATAAGCAGGCAGTGACTTAAGGAAGAGAATCTAAAAAGTCCAATTTGTCTGTTGATAAGCACAAATCTACAGAGTGGACTATTTGTACTGTGTACACTGTGGGTATCAAAACCTGATTTTTGTGTGATAAGCCCTCAGACTTAACACTAAGCCACCAGAGGCCCAGTCAGTCCAGACCTTCTCTTTTTCATTCTTTTCACAAATTAACACCTATTTTATGTTGTATAAACAAGTATTTATATATTAATGTTTTAACTTTATTTGGCCTAGTTTACTTTAAAACAAAAGGGTCTACAATGATTAATTCAAAATATTACATTATTATAGTGAATATCTCATCAATTATGCAAAAAATACTAAATATTTGGTTACCTTGTTAACTTTTAAAAAGTTAACTGATACCATAACATCAATGTAAGAACAAAACATTACTGTTAAGTTTGTTTTGTTTTGAATTTTGTGAAAAAGCTACATGAGGGCTATCTGCACTAGCCAATCTCAATTTAGCAGTGAAAAGCTAGAGGGAAGGCAGATGGTCATCACCATCCACCACTAACTCTTGGGCTACTCTTTTACTAACGAATAGTGGGATTGACCATCATATTATAACATCCCCTTGACTGAAAGGGCGAGCATGTATGGTGGGACAGGGATTTGAACCTGCAACCCTCAGATTGCGAGTCAAACACCCTAACCATCTGGCCATGCCGGGCTGTTATTTGTTAATATAATAATACTATATTATATAGTATATAATAATTATATAATAATACTTCCTAGTTTTATTCTTATTCAAACCCTAATGGTTTTCAAACTTTGTAAGATGAAGTTATAGTTATAAAAAGTTTTATTTTAGAAAATAAATTGATGTTATTCTGATTTTTATATTGTTTGACTTTAAATTGAGGCAACTTAAAGAATATCAGTAATACCAGGTTCTTACTTTGACTAAGTATGAGTTTACATAACAAAATAAAATGAGTTATGATTACTCTTTCCCTTAGTTTGAGTAACTGTTTAGTAATAGACACAACATATGTATAGATTTAAGTTGATTTTTTTTCTATAGTTTCAGTGAAATTTTCTTTTGTTTGAGAATTGTGAAAGTATTTGTATTGAATAACATATATTTAAATGCTACAGAAACCAGGTAACTTGAGATAGGGCAAGTTTAAACAGTTTAGAGACAAGTTGAATGGTTAATAAAAAAGGTTTATTATACGTATAACATATTAACAAATATAGAATGCTTAAAGAAGGTATTGTGATGATAGGTAACAAGTAGTTGTTTACCTAAACACAGGATTACATACACAATATGAAATATAGTAGTCACATGACTGGAGATTAATAAAGATATCTTGTTAATGTTCAGTTCTTTATTTAAAATTACACTTTTTAATTTAATTCTTCATGGATATACTATTTTTTTAGCTGCATTGTTTGTAAACATGAAGTTGTGTGTTTTTTATGTTCACCAAATAAAATAAATTGACTTTTTATTGAATACAGTAGGCAACTGCAAGCTGTTCTGATGACTCAAACATTTAGTGAATATCATTTTTATATTTATCCTACTCAACAATGTATAAAAAGAAATTGGCTAGCTGGCTACTTAATTATTTCTGATTGCGATGATGATATTTTTAAATTAAAACAGTACCATCCTTATTGGTGATAGTAAAACATATTTTCATTATTTAATTATCAATTTATTTGACTTACACAAGATCAGCGAGGGACTACTGCATATTATAAGAACAAACAAAATAACAATAGCATAGTCATTTCTAGTCAACATTAGCAATTCATTTGTCAAGTACAAAATATACAGACCAAAATGTGTGGCAAGATATTTGTTAACAAAAAAGTATGTTATTCACAAAGTGTGCAAATGGTGACTTCCAGGAGATGTCTGTCACATGAAATGAAGGGTAATTCAAAAATTACTTTAAAAATTGAAAATAAAAAGATAAAAACCATGTTGTCAGGGACACTGTACTAATCATTTAACTGATTAATGAGCCCAGTGATTGATCGAGTAGCAATAAATTCCACTAACTGCCCAGCTCTAACAATAGATAAACTATGTTAATAAATTTTAGGTTTAAGAGTTAATTTAAATAAAAATTACAATAAATAAGCATTTTCTTAATAAATAGCTTTTAAACACTGCACTCTTCAAACTGATTTTTTAATTTAACAAAACTCAATGGCTCTATTTAATACCACCAAGTTAACTCAGCTAGTCGAAGCATAGGAACACAGGTGATAGATATGAAAAAACAATGTACATAGCAAATGACGCACACCTTATTGGGAAGAAACTACATATAAAAAATTTTCCCCAAGTTAACTTAAGATTTTCAGGCTTATTACATGCATGTACAAGGTAAAAAAAAAACAATCTACAGGATTAAGTTTTAAACTCACCATTGCTACAGGTGCTCTTTGTTGTACGATGACAAGTTTGTGTGCAAGGCAGTGGTAGACTGTTGATAAGATAAACAGGATATTAAGTAATGCAAAAATGTTATAAAACATCTATTGTAACAATAAAAGCCCTTCAAATGTTGAAATGGGCTCCAAATTATATATGATAGCGATGTAATTAAACTTCTTGGTTATTAGCATTCATTTGCTAGCAGTTCTTCACTAGCAATATTAGGTTACTTTCTATCTAGTTAGCACAGTCAACAAAAAGCATGATACAGTACCTGGAAGATCTAACAAGAAAAATATTTTAATGACTCATTTTCTATACCAAGGATAATTAACATGTGTAAATGTAAGAAATGTAATATAAAACAGTGTTATACCATATTTAAGCTTGAGATAACAAAAACTCAGATTCATTACACATATATTTAGTATAATATACAATTAAGAATATGATTAATATATGTTTATTCAAATGCAATATATTGCCAATAGTTCTCTCCGACATTTAATATTACATTATTTATAACCAATAGAAAGCCAAAATTTCAATCTACCAAATAACATATTATATTACATTGTTTTTAGTGCAGACAATTGTCAGTTTTGCTTCTATTTCAAGCTTGATTCCCACACGAAAGACATCAATGAGCTTAGTTGAATTTCTAAAGGCTCTTGTCGCATAGTTAGAAAGCCACAATAACTGTTATAGTTATGAGACATATTCTGCTCTTGCATTCATTATTGTGTGTTCTTTGGAGCATTATTTAATTAAATAAAAATTACTTACTGCAGTAGTACCAGAAGTACAAAAAAGTTAAATGTCATTGACAGTTGATAGCAAAAAGACGACGACCCAGGTATATACTTTATTTCTTGATTATCATGTGTATTCATTATTTATTATTATAAAAGTAGGGCACAACACATATGTAGTATGGTTACATACAGTGGGTGCTCACCTCGACTTTCCTGAACAGACTTAAGCTGCAGGAGGAGGGCCCAATGCATGTGTATGTATATGAGGGGTGAACTGCACAACAATGATAGTGTCACCACTGCCCCACTTCCCACCATATTGGTACTCAATTGTATAGAACCCCAGATGTACAAATCCAATCAATAAGGGTTATCCATGGTCCACCACCCAAGCTGCTAGGAACGGGTAAATGGTAAAGGTCTCCTGTGTTCCACTTGATGAAAAAAAGTGGGGGATTTGCAGAGAGGAAACCTTCTGTCTGGAAGAGTCTTCAATGTCTGCATTGAGTAACTGCAAAACTATTTTTAAAAGTTAGCAAGTGAAAGCCAGAGTAGTGAGCAGAATACTCCTCTTGTGCTGGCATTTTACATATTAGTCCAAGAAATACAGTGCTATGCAAATGTGTTAGGACAAGAAAATATTTTATCATTTTTTCCATTTTACGGTGCTAACTCTATGCCATTACAGAATGTAAATTTCAACACTATGGTAATGCTTCACTGATCCCTGTCGACAATTGAATAAGCCAGGGTGAGAATACTTATCATTCGTTAGAATTCCCATATACTTTTACCACGGGTAGGTCATAAGGGTTCTGCTTGAATGAACATACTGATTAAATTTAGGGTCTGAAATAACTGTCTTAACTATATAGAAAAAAGCTAGCAAGGAGGTAGTATATGCTACCAGTATATGCTAGAATAAATCAATTTAATAGCACTCCACAAATAAACCTTAATAAAAACAGTGTTAACACTATATATTAAGTTTTGTTGTCATGCCACAGCCCAAAAAGTGTAAAGAATTGTCCGTAGAATACAGAGTTTGCATAAAAGCTTCATGTGATGCTGGTTGGACTCTCCAACAAATTGCTGTAGACTTTAAATGCTCCCCAAACACTTTCAAGTACACCCTAGATTGTGAGACCAAGACAGGTAAATTTGAAAATAGGAAAGGAAGAGGCAAAACCCTAAACTAAATGCTACTTATGTTAAGTATCTTCGTTTATTCAGCCTTCAGAACAGAAGGAAGACTAACACTAATCTCAAGCATGAGATAAATGACCATGTACCAAATGACAGAAAAGTGTCAAGAACTACAGTATCAAGTACACTCAACAAGAATGTAATATTTGGTCATGTAGCAGTTTAAAAAACCTTTACTTTGATCTACATTGTTTTCAGTCAAGTGACTGAAATTTGCTTTTTTAAATAAGTACAAAAACTGGTCTGTTGATGTTTGGAAAAGGTGTTATAGATGGACGAGTCCAAGTTTGAAATATTTAGTTCAAAGCATAGATTGTATGTCTGGCAGAAGAAGGGTGAAAGATACTTACCTCAATGCATAGCACCTATCATGAAGCATGGGGGAGGCAGTGTGATGGTTTGGGGGTGTTTTTCTGCTGAGGTGACAGGAGATATTTACAAAACAGATGGAATATCAAACCAGTACAAGTACCATCAGATACTGATTTGTCATGATATACCCAGTGGTTTGTGTATTATTGGTAAAAGATTCTAATACCAAGAAGATAATGATCCCAAACAATCATCAACTTATGCAAAAGTTAATTAGCTAAAGAAGAAGCTGCAGGAGTCATTCAAATGATGTAATGGCTCTCACAGAAACCCGATCTCAACCCAATTGAGCAGATCTGGGATTTGACAGATCACAAACTTAATAAATAAAAAGTTACTTCCAAAGAAACTTTATGGGAGTGTATTAGAGACATTTGAAGTAAAATCCCAAAAAACACTTTGATTAAGTATGTTGTAACAATGCCTGAAGACTGTCTGCAGTTATTAAAGCAAAAGAGGGACACACAAAATATTAACTGTTGGCCAAACTAAAGCATTTCCACTGAGTTTCTGTTGTACTAAAAATGAAGATTAAACTCGAGACAAACATGTCAATAGGAGGAGTTGACAGACCCATCTAGTAAGAGAAGAAGGAGAAAAGGGAACCCAGGATAAGGACAGACGAAAGCAGGGAACCCAAAAGGAAGAGGTCTGTGATAAAGCACATCAAACAATATTCAGGAGTCAATCCAGACCTGAATGGTCCAACAGGCAAAACAAAGGGAAATGGGAAAGAAGTACAGTTAACCTGCTGAGTGTTCAAAAGCCTGAGGAAGGAAAGACCAGTCTAGGAAGTGGGATATAAAAGTGTGGAGGAAGAGGGTGCAAGAAGCATCTATAGCATAGACATTCAAACAATATTAATAGTAGGTGAGAAAAAGAAAGAAACAAGTCAGAAGAAAAATATGGTACAAAAGGAAGAAAGTCAACAGCTCAAATGGGGCATGAATGTCCACATCAAGGTCTCAGTCAGGCATGGGAGTTGGGTGAGAAGAACAGAAGAGAAAGAAGGAGTAGAACAGAGTGGAGAGGACAGAGGAAGAAACACCTTGTGGAATCAAGAAATGAGAGGGACCAAAGAGAAGGCCCATCAACTACTAGTAAGGGTAGATATCTGTGAGCCAATGATGAACAGTGAAAAAGAAAAGGCAAAAAGATGGTTCACAGTATGACCATCAAGAAAAAAAGGAGTGGGAGAAGGATCAAAACAAAACCACCACAGTTACTGATAGACAAAGATGGTGGAGAGGCAACAAGAATGTGACAAGAATAATGTCACACAGATGGATAAACTAGCCCAATGGATGACAGACTGAGCAAATTCCCTGTGTAATGATGCAGGAAAGATATCAAGTTACTTTAAGAGTACACACAAAGTTCATGTAATTTATCTGGATAAATAAGCTATATGTGGGTTACAAAAAATCCCATTCCTATTCAGAACACTTCAACAGTTTTGGCAAAATTATTACTTTCTCCTTGAAGCTATTCACAAACAACTGAAATTATAAATCTTTAGAGATATTCTACAAAAAATTAGAACGTTCATTTTTTTCATTTCCTAATTTTAATCATTTCATTACATTGTGTGTTAGTGATAATAGCTAGAGTTAGTGATATGGTAAAGAAATTGAAAAATAAAATATAAACATTTACTTTAAAACACTTCTGATATTCATTTAGGAGGTTCTAGATGTTATGCAAATGAAATATGAAACTATAAGATGAAAAGTATTTTAATACTTAAAATGAAAATCACTTTGCACTTGAATTATTTTAACAGTCTGAATGTAAATAACTACTATACATAAATAACATTTTTATTGGAAAAGTGTACAAAACACTTATAAACAAAATCTTGAGGTTTTGTGAGGAATGCCCACAGTCACCATATTTTTGTTACATAAATGTCCTTTCCTAGTCAAGTGGATGGAAATTTCATCTGCCCGTGTTTAAAAAAGTTAAATTACGAAATTAAAACATATATAATATTAAAATTTCAATTATAAACTAGGATTTAGTTTTTAACTCTATATTTTAATTGATTATGTATTATTTGTGTTATAAAATTCATATTCGAGAGGTTTAATGATTTTTTATAAGTTTAACTTCTTGTCGCCTGGATTGTGAAAGCTTAATAAACACAATACATGTAAAAGCACCATCTTGTTTTTTTCAATGAGTCTGTGCACAGAGTCTGCAAAATTACTTCATAAAGCTCCATGAGCATCAGCTGACTTGCCGTTATAAATAGTAAATGACTGAGAATTTGGTGCATAGCTATACAGTGTATAGAGGTGAGTTATCATCTCAGAACTTAAGTTTTTCATATACAAATTAATCTGGATTTAGTATTTTAATATACCGTCTCACACAAATTTGATTTGGTTTGGTTTATTTGGAATTTTGCACAGAGCTACACAAGAGCTATTTGTGCAAATCATCCCCAATTTAGTAGTGAAAGGCTAGAGGGAAAGCAGCTAGTCATCATCACCCACTGCCAAATCTTGGGCTACTCTTTTACTAATGAAGTAGGATCAACAGTCATTTTATAATGCCCTCATGGCTGAAAGGGCAAGCATGTCTGGTGGGACGTGGATTCGAATCCGCGAACCTCAGATTGCAAGTCAAGCGCCCTAACCGCCTGGCCATGCCCTCACACAAATGTACAATATTCAAATCTAAGCCTAAGAGAGCAACCCACAACTACGGTGAA